TCAGTATTGGATCATTTAATGTGGTTATCTGAGATACCACTTCTCTTCTGGACAGAAGGATGGCTTTTGTTTGTTTTGGGAATAGAATAGAATAGAATAGAATAGAATAGAATAGAATAGAATAGAATAGAATAGAATAGAATAGAATAGAATAGTGAATGGAATGGAATGGAATGAAATGGAATGGAATGGAATGGAATGGAAAATCAGAGATGGGATTCAGCCAGTTCGGTCCAGTTCAGTCAAACTAATAGTGATGACTGTGGGAGGCTCCGCCCACCCTCCCGGATGTAATGTATGAGCAAAGAGCATGCACGGAAGGCCGCACGTGTGCTCACATTTGCGAACTGGTAGGGAAGGTAAGTGAATCCCACCCCGGAATGGAATGGAATGGAAAATCACAGGTGGGATTCAGCCGGTTTGGTCCAGTTCGGTCAAACTGGTAGTGATGACTGTGGGAGGCTCTGTCCACTCACCCAGATGTAATGCATGAGCAAAAAGCATGCACGGAAGGCCGCACGTGTGCTCACATTTGCGAACCGGTAAGGAAGGTAAGTGAATCCCACCCCAGAATGGAATGGAATGGAATGGAATGGAATGGAATGGAATGTATATTTGGCTCTGGCATATTAACTTTGTAGTGGAACCTTTGAAGAGGCTCTGTTCTTTTGAATTATTGTGCTCCACATTTAACCAAAGGATAATGGAGTGGATGTTGAACATTTTCATGATAGCATCCTTCACCCGAAATAATGCAAGATGGGAAGTGCTGTTATTCTCTGTGCCTTATGCAACCCATACAGAGTGCCTATAATATTAATACGTGTATGTGTGTGTGTGTTTATATTTGACCAAGTATTATTTGCTGGGGATGTTGCTTACAGAATGACTGAGAAATTTGGACTGTATATACTACCTTATTTGTTTATTTATTTATTTTCGTTGCTAAGTAAACTGACTTCATGTTAAATGCTCTGTTAAAACTGGCATGGCGGTGTACACATTCCTCTATTGCTTAGCACCAAAGACAAATACTACCGTGTGGTTTTATTCAGTGGTGGGATTCAAGTAATTTAACAACTGGTCCTCTGCCCTAATGATTTCTTCTAACAACCAGTTTGCCAAACTGCTCAGAAAGTTAACAACCGGTTCTCCCGAAGTGGTGCGAACTGGCTGATTCCCACCACTGGTTTTATTCCTTTTCTCTCTCTATTTTTTTTCTCTTGTTTCTGCACAATTTTTTCTTGAACGTGTATGTATGAATTCCTGAACTCCATTGCCTAACTTCACTGCAGCCTGAAGCTCTTCTCTTTGGCGCATTTAATCAAACTCCTAATTCTGTAAGGAGAACTCACTCCTATTTCCAATCCAACTCTTATCTGTTTTTGAGATCTTCCTTATGAAATTCTGAATTTTACAGGCATTCACTACATCCACGTTGCTGCTACTACCTGCTGAAAGTAAGTCCATCAATCCTTCATTTGGGCCACTGACCAGTGAAAATTATACTAAGCATTAAAAGCTAAGTGCTACCATTATGCCAATAGTTGAACCTACGTACTATAAAAATAACCAAGGTTTAAAGTACTAGTACAAATGTAAAAACATAATGCAATACCATTAAGATTGTAAATGTAAATAGGATTTTCAAAACCAACCATGAATGCAACACATAAATCTAGGCAACGGAAATACTATTAGATAAAACTGCTAAAAGTGGCTAAATATGAATTGCTACATTGGTACATAAAATCACTAAATTGCTAAACTCTACAGGTATTTCAAACTGAATAATAATGTGACTGCAGTGCCATGAATAATACAGAAAATGGTCAGCATCAATTGTTAAAGATGTCCCTACAATAAAATACTCTATACTGCTCTTCTTTTCATGTTTTCCTTCTAGTAGATTATATCTACTATAGTCATTGGTTTTTTAAAAGTGATGGAAAGTTTTGATGGGGAATTTCTCCTGCAAAGCAGATGTGTGAAATAAAACATTTACTTTATATGTTTCATTCATTCCTCTAATCCTTCAATGTGTTGTGGCTCCATTGCCTGAGCCTGGGCTATCGACAGATACAGACTCTGAGAGTGAAGGAGAGGAGTTGGCAAGGCCTCCCTCTCCAGGACCCTCCTCTCTGGCAATGCCTCCAGAGGACAATGAAGGCCAAAAGATAGGGCCAGAGCCAAGCACGTCCCCGCAGCCACAGGTGGACAGCAACGAAGGAGATAAGTGCTGGCTGGATCCTCGACAGTGGCGCAGGGAGAAGCGTGCGCAGCAGAGGGGAAGGCATGCCAGAGATTAGCTGAGTCACTGGACCACACCCCACAGGGTATAAATGTGGGTGTGGTGGCCGGTTCAGTTTGTGATGAGCAAAAACTAGAAATAATCCATGATCTCTGCATTACTGGACTTCTGCCTGCCTTGTCGGACTGCATTTGGACTAATCTTTGTATTGCTGAAACTTTGCCTGCTTTATCGGAATGCTTGCAGTCTAATCTTTGTTTTGTGTGAGTAAAGTCTGAATTGGCAGCTAGCCACTGGGTTGCTGCCAGCTTTATCTTCAAAGACTTTGTCGTGTGGCTTATTAACTCCGGGCCATCTGTGGGGGTGCATGTGTGGGACGGGGATAGAACACAATGGTGCTCTGTACATGGGCAAAACACTCCCTTGAAATGAAACTGCTCATTGAGAAGGACTGGATTCACCTCCAGTGTTTTGCAAGATGGCATCCTTAGTGCTCTCTGAGCTTGTTTGTTTCCTTGTAGACCTTTCATTACCCTAACTAGGTAACATCATCAATGCTAGAAGGGAGTGAAGTGTGGGAGGAGGAGGAGGAGGAGAACAACAACAACGATGTTGGGGTCCTTAGTGCTCTCTGAGCTTGGTCATTTTCTTGCGGACATTTCATTGCTGCCAACAAAAGTGCGTATAGTCAAGGCTATGGTTTTCCCAGTTGCAATGTATGTGTTGTGGTCTGCCAGTAGCCTGGGGAGTTGGCAGTGGAGTCGGACAGTGAGGAGGCTGGGGAGGACAATGGGCCAGTCCTGGAGTCAGGGGAGGGCTCTGAGTCGGAGGCAGAGATGGGGTCAGGGCCATCTGGGAGCGATGCGCGGACTCTGGAGCCTCCAGAGGCAGATAGCAGAGAGGCAGAAGAACAGGAGGAGCCTGTTCCTAGTGCACACATGTGAAGAGCTGCCAGAAGGCAAGAGCAGCTAAAGCAAAAAGGACGACTTGGGAGTAAGGCCAGGAGATGATTGGCCCCTCCCAGAAGGTTTAAAAGAGCAGCAACGGCTCTTGGGATCTTTGTAGAAAAGCAACGTTGTTACATTTGTTTCTTGTCAGCATCTCTTGCTTCTGAACTTTTGCCAAGAAAAGCCTTTGGCAGGGTGCCGAAGTAGACAAAGGGTGGTGATAAGGCTGAAGGACTGTTTATCAAGAATTTGTTTTGGACTTAATTTGGACTAAGCTGAGAATAAAGTAATTCTCAGCTGTTCTAATAAAATATGTTTGTTTAGGACTGATTGTGTCTGGTAATAACTACTTGGGCCTAGGTCACAACAGTATGGCTGTGAAAGTTGGACCATAAGAAAGGCTGAGCGCCAAAGAATTGAGGCCTTCGAGCTCTGGTGCTGGAGAAGACTCCTGCGAGTCCCTTGGACTGCAAGGCGAACAAAACGGTCAGTCCTAGAGGAGATCAACCCTGACTGCTCTTTAGAAGGCCAGATCCTGAAGAGGAAACTCAAATACTTTGACCACCTAATGAGAAGGAAGGGCTCCCTGGAGAAGAGCCTCATGCTGGGAACGATTGAGGGCAAAAAAAGAAGGAGACGACAGAGAACGAGGTGGCTGGATGGAGTCACTGATGCAGTAGGCGTGAGCTTCAATGGACTCCAGAGGATGGTAGCAGACAGGAAGGCCTGGAGGAATGTTGTCCATGGATTGTGATGGGTCAGACATGACTTCACAACTAACAACAAGTTAACATCATCAGTGCTAGAAGGGAGTGGAGTTTATAGAGGGGAAGAGGAGAAGGGGGACTGTGAGGTCCTTGGTGCTCTCTGTGCTTGCTTGTTTTCTTGCAGACATTTTCTTACCCAACTAGGTAACATCATCAGTACTAGTAAGGAGTGCTGTTTGCTGTCAGTTTATATTCTGGTGGCTTGCCCTGTCAGTTTTGGTAGGGATGGTCTTTAGAGATTCTTTGGTTGGACTATTTACTGATGAGGCTCTTTGGCAGTTTCTTGATTGGGGTATTTGTTTACTTGATTGTTGGTCTGAAGTGAACCCTGGAGTTAACCTATACTAGGGGTCAGCAACCTGTGGCTCTGGAGCCACATGCGGCTCTTTGGGCCCTCTGCTGTGGCTCCCTGTCGAGTGATCCCACCACTGGCTGGCCCCGCCCCTCGCCCTCCCCTCCCAGTCACTCCTCGCCTGGCCTGAGAAGATAAGGGTGAGGGGAGAAGCAGCCAGGGCAGAGACAGAGAGATACAGAGAGAGGGGGAGAGAGAGGGGGAGGGAGGGAGGGGAGAGAGAGATGTGTCAAAAGGGTTTTGTGGTTCCCGGTGTTTTTTAACAACTGGTTCTCTGCCCTAATGACCAGCTGGGTTGGCATGGCTGGGGGGAGGGGGTCATGTGACTGGTGGAAGTGAGTGACATTGAGTTGGCCACACCCACCCAGGTTTTGTGGCTCCCGGTGTTTTGTTTTCTGTGGGAAATGGGTCCAAATGGCTCTTTGAGTGCTTAAGGTTGCAGACTCCTGACCTATGCTGATGTGGGTGCTGATTGCTGATGGAGAAATGTTGGAGTCTTTTTGTTTTCTTTTCGGCTGATTGATTGTCCCTTTTGCATTGTCTATAGATGTTAATGTCTACCTGTATATTGATAGCTGATTTGTCAGAGTGCCAGGCTTCTAGAAATTCCCTGGCATTTTTGTCTTTAAATTCTATGGCAAAATACATCTCCTCTAATCTCAGAAGCAAAGCACTGAAATGGACCAGGTTCACATTCCTTTATTTCTTCTCTGACTACAAATGGGAAGGTGGGCAGACCGTTGGGAGGTTCCTCTTGAAGTACCATGTTTCTGATGGTACTGCTCAAATTTGCAACTTCTGCCTGCTGTTGTTATTCCATCATTGTATTAATAATATCACATAGAGATCTTTTTTTAAAAAGAAAAACAAACATATTTCATTGTGGGCTCTTCAGTACAGGGGTGGGTTCTAAAACTTTTTACTACCGGTTCTGTGGGCGTGGCTTATTTTGTGGGCGTGGTTTGATGGTCATGTGACAAATAATTCTTTAGGATTTAGCAGAGGTACTGGTCTACCAGTCTTTTAATTGCTTGTAGAGCCATACCAGTCTACCCATTTGTTTTTGGAGCGCACTGGTCTACCACCACACTGGCTTTTACTGCTGATCAGCTGTAAGGCGGCCCTTTGAAGCGCTGCGGCAAGAGTTTAAACAGTTTTTTGCCATTCTGCCACCACTGAGAGCATCGGAACCTGCTTTCAGGAAGCTTGGCCGCAGATCAGTTCTAGCCGATCCGTTGGGAGGCTTCTTGGCTTCTTAATTTAAAGCTAAGGTGTCTTGGTTTTTTTCTCTCTTCTTTGTCAAGTGAGCCCTGATTTTTTCCTTCTAGCCGATCAGTTGGGACTCAGGAAGGCAGTGAATAGATTGGGGGTGGTATTTACCGGTTCTCCAAACTACTCAAAATTTCCACTACCGGTTCGCTAGAACCGGGGAGAACCGGTGGCAATTCACCACTGCTTTGGTACTCTTTGAGCTTGGTTGTTTTCTTGCAGATGTTTCATTAACCCACTCCCCTCTGGCACTGATGTTGTTACCTGATTTGGTAATGAAATGTTTGCGAGAAAATGACCAAGCTCAGAGAGCACCAAGGACCCCACAAACCACGCCTCTTATACTTTCAAGAAAATTTCATAAATACCTTTAGCAGGAGCCCAGCTTCATGTGAGGACTTCGCTGCTAAAGTACATCAGAGATGCGTTTCATGAGTTAGGAATGGAATTTGTCTTACTGTGAACCCATTCCTCAGTTATAATTTGTCTGGAAGAATTTTCAAACTTCTGTGTACTCAGCACTCATAGTACAATCAACCATTCAAACAAGGATACAACAGTAAATCTAAAATCCATTTATACAAACATTGCCTGGTAAATACAAGCATACCATTGCCTGCTACTTATCATATTTATATCCTATTCATTCCCACTAAAATCAGCCTGAAGTGTTTAATGCCATTGTTGGTGTCAAATAAAGGAGGTGGGGGGTGGGGAAGATTTTAAACAAAAATGGAATGGTTGGAATTGTATGAGAATTGGTCAAACCTGTTCAATAAGCAAATTTCACAATGCATATCACTGCAATCCCGAAATAGATACTTCAGAAATGCCTATTCACATCCATTCCTCTGTGTGTTTGTTTATGTATCAGTGGTGGGTTGCCCCCGGTTCTCACCGGTTCTATAGAACCGGTAGTAAAACCGGCGGGAGGCTCCTCCCACCGACCCTGACATCATCAAAATGCTTCTGCGCATGTGCAGAAGCTTCTGCGCTTGCACAGAAGAGTGTGCGGCCCCGTTGCAAACCGGTAGTAAAGATTAAGTAGAACCCACCCCTGGTATGTATGTGTGTGTTGCTGTCTTGTCAAGCATTCAATGATAATATCCAGGGGTGGACTGCAGGGGGTTCACAAGGGTTCAGGAGAACCTCTAGGTAAGATTCTGTGCAGTTCGGACAACTCCCAAATCCCACTCCTGGCTGGCCCCTCCCAACCCTTCCTACCCTTCTCAGGAGTCCCCACGCAGCCCATTTTGGATACAGGTAAGTGCAGGACATGCACGGAGGCTTAGGGAGGATGAAAAACAGGCCTACCGGAAGTTCGGGAAGGCCGGAAATGGCCTCTGAAGCCTGGGGAGGCCGTTTTCACCCTCCCAGAGGCTCGAACAAAGCCTCCGGAGCCTGGGGAGGGCAAAAATGCCCCCCCACCGTGGTGCAGGAGACCGACTAGGCCACACCCACCATGGCCAACACCCACCCAGCAATTGGGCAGAGAACCCCTTGATAAAATTCTTTTCTTTTTATAAATTTTTATTGAAAATTATTAAAAAAAATACAGAAAAAAAATATAATAATATGGATAGAATTGCAGAGAGTAATATAATACATATAGAGTTTTAAAGTATCAATTTTCACCTAGAGAAAGTACTTGATAAAATTCTTGAAGCCCACCCCTGGTAATATACATGGAGATTTTCAGTCATCCACGTCATTGTGCTTTTTCAAGAGCCACTGGACTTCCTTTGTTTTTTCTGGAAAAACACAGATCATTTCAGTAATTCCAAGAAGGTTCCACGCACATTTGCACTATTCAGGTGACCCTGAGGGCATAGATAAACCTCCAAATGGCTTCAGAAAGAGTGCTAAGGACCAAAAGGATATAAATCCTTCCATTCACCATGATTTCAGTCAGAACTGAAGAAGCTTCTTGGATGAGAAGCAAAAAGTCTTCAAGGAAAAACAAAGCCCAGTTGCCTCTTGAAAAAGCTCCTTGGGACATTCAATGGGAAATTGTCCTCCATTTTTTCCCCCCTTCCTCCTAAATGTTCTTTCTTTCCTCAATGATCCAATCCCAAGGGGAAGAAGAAACAATGTCAAATCTCATTCAAATGTTGACAATGTCCAACTCAAAGCCAGAAGGAAAAATATTTCCTTAGAGACTCCATGTTCTGGGGAAAAAAATGCTTTCTTTTCTCTCTCTCGCTCTCTCCCCGCTTCCTTGCAACTGCTACTTCCCCCTTATTCAGCATTCAATTTTCCCTTGACTTCTTGGGCAGATTGCTAAACCAATTTCTACTAGAGCTTTGGAGTTTACACTCTGTATATTAAAAAATGCAAACGACTAAGGACTTGGGAGACAGAAAGGAAAGGAAAGGAAGGGAGTGAAAAGAAGAGAAAAGCAAGTTCAACGAACGGGACGACAAAAGGAATACAATTAATTTGTGAGGTGCGGACAAGGGAAGGAGACAATATTGCATAAACCTGTCTAAAGCTTTGCATCGCTCTATTTCTTTTCCCCCCACTCATGCTCAGGGTTTCTGATCCCTTCTGATTCTCTTTCAGCTTCAGAATCTTCATGTTGATGATGATAACTCAAAGCAATGTTGCCTGTTGCTGCTTCGGCAGAGAAGGTGCTTTGTAAAGTAATAAAGTCTTGGACTCCTCTGAAATTCACTGATCATCAGCACGTGGGTTCAAGGTCTGAGCTTCAAACTGAGCCATAGTGGCACAGTGGTGAGAGCGCAGTACTGCAGGCTACTTCTGCTGACTGCCGGCTGACTGCAATTTGGCAGTTCGAATCTCACCAGGCTCAAGGTTGACTCAGCCTCCCATCCTTCCGAGGTGGGTAAAATGAGGACCCAGATTGTTGGGGGGCAATAGATTGACTCTGTAAGCCGCTTAGAGGGGGCTGTAAAGCACTGTAAAGCGGTGTATAAGTCTAAGTGCTATTGCTAAAGGTAAAGCTTTCCCTGCCCATTAATGTCCATCTCCAGGGTGCAGGAGTCATCCTAATTTCTTAGATGTGGGAGTCAGCATTGTCCAAAAACATTTCCATGATCTTGTGGCTAGCATGGCTATATGCCAAAATACACAGACTGTATTACATTCCCATTGAAGTGGTACCTATTGATCTACTTGCATTTGCATGCTTTCGAGCTCTTAACTGGACAGGTGCTGGTGCAAGCACCAGGAACTCACCCCATTATGTGGTGCTTGGGTCTCGAATCCGGGATGTCATCTTTCCAACTAAGAAGTTCAACGTCTTTAATCACTGAGCCATTGTGCCCCTTACATACCCAGATGAATTTTCACACAGTGTACTATGCAAGTTCTAAGCTACAAAATTTGTTCGGGATTCTGCAGAAGATGCACAGAAGACCTCTGAGAAGAAATGCAGAATCCTTAGGAAAACATGAGCTCAGACCAGGAAAGCAAGAAGGGGTCAGAAAGAAACTTAATATTGTACTAGCTTAGCTCTATTTAGTATAAAAGAGAGAGGGGATGGGAGGGAGAGGGAGAGGGATTGGTTTACTGCAGGGTTCGGCAACCTTAAACCCTCAAAGAGCCACAAAAGTCCTAACCGGAAGTCCCCGTTCAATTCTGGAGCCTACCGGAAGCCCGATTCCCCCACCATAGAGTCTCTTCCTAATGCAGTGTCCTTTTTCCTCTACCTGTCCCAACCAAAAGCCCTTTCACTTGTGGAGACGACCGGAAAACCCTCCCCTTGCCATAGAGTCTCCTCCTGGCATGCCATGCTTCCCCACTTACGGGACCACCTACTACCACAAATAGCCTCCCACCGGCCGGTACGTTCTCATAGAGAGGGGCTCCTCCGGGTGCCGTCGGCCAAACAGTGTCGACTGGCGGCCCCCAGCAGGAGGGCCTTCTCTGTGGGGGCACCCACTATCTGGAACGAACTCCCCCCAGAGATACGGAGGATCCCGGATCTGCACACTTTCCGCCGCGCTCTTAAGACCTTCCTATTCCAGCAAGCTGGCCTGGCCTAACCTTTCCCCCCCTTTTCTTTAAATCAAAAATTTTAAATCTGTTTTTAAATTATTGGGATGTTTTAAATTTGTCTCGGGCTAAATTGTTTAATCTGGTTTTATTTCTGCTTTTAAATTTTGTATTTATGTATTTTATTTTGTGCCTGTTCACCACCCTGAGTCCTTCGGGAGTGGGGTGGTATATAAATCTAATCAAACAAACACTCCCTAACTGGAAGCTCCTCTCAAAATTGTGGTGCTGACCACAGGGTCAGCGACCCAGCGACAGGGAGCTGCAGCAGAGAGAGATGAAAGAGCCACATGTGGCTCCAGAGCCACGGGTTGCTGATCCCTGGTTTAGTGGTTAAGGCACCAGACTAGAAAGTGGGAGAACTGTGAGTTCTAGTCCCACCTTAGCCATGAAAGCCAGCTATCTGCCCTCGGGGAAAGAAGGAAGGAAGGAAAGAAGGAAGGAAGGAAGGAAGAAAGTTCTTTTTTTATTTTAAAAGTTTTTATTAATAAAAAATATACAAACAAACATAAATACATTAAGACAACATACAGAACAAACAAACATCAATTCAGTCCCATGACTGACTCTTAAAGTTACTACGTCGGTGGGTTATTTTTCTATTTCTCTTATCTTTCTCTATTCGTATCTATATCTATGTTCATATATTTACATATTTGTATATAGGACATTATAGTTCACTCTTTATTTAGTTCTATACATTCCTATTGAATAGGAAACAACGAACAGATAAATAAATAGGGATGGAAAGAGAGCTAAAAATTATCTCAATCAATATAAACGGACTTAATTCACCAGCCAAAAGGAAGCAGACATTTACGAAAGAAAGAAAGTTCTATTATTTCTGGTAGTTTCTATTTCCTGACTGGTGTGCTGTGTGAATCCAGAAAACTGAGTTAAGTAGTCCATGGTTACTTCAATCATGGATAAATGTGTCACAGGAACACAGCTTTTGAAGAGAAAATGCAAATGGACGGACTGAAGTGAAAGAGAATGATTAGGGCAGGACTGGAACTCTGAATGTGAGTTTTCCATGGTGTCGTCTTGTGGTTGATCCCACTTGCCCGGTTCCTTTTCTAATGGCAAGAATGAAGTGCTGTTAACTGCGGATCAGCTGTCACTGATCACTGTCACTGACAATAGCTCAGTGACTGAGCCATTAGTGCCAAAGGACCCCACCAGATTTTGACTTTATGTACCAATTCTCTTTGTTCAACGACTTCAGACAAGCACCGAGTGTCCCTTTACAGAGACCTCGCCTGTCAGAAAAAGCTTGTTAATACTGTTTTCTTCTCTGCGTGCGGTATACAGACAGGGCCTCAATTCTCCAGAAAATTCTCAAGCTGCTTCCTTAGGACCCCGAAACGAGGACGTCTGTTCTCAATGTACCAAAAAACAGCGTGATTCCCAGGAGCGGACAATACATGTTCAAATGCCACTGAGTAGCTTTTAATGTCCCAGCAACAAGTTACTAACAAGAAATGCTTCCAGAAGCCCACCCCGCTCTCTCTTCAGCAAAATCCGGTGGTGAAAGAGCTGTTAAGACGGTGAATAAATAGCATTCCTGAGTAGTCAGCGGGGTGAAAATGCTTATTGAAAACAGACAAAGTGGTTTTAATTATTGGGCAGTGTTTGGCTTCAGTATATGCTTTTATTTAATTCATCAACCGTATTGAGTTCTTGGTAAAAGTCAATGTTGCCACGGGGAACAATTAGTCGGAATGGTTATGTATTATTAATAAATGCAATAGTAAGGCATCAATAATCCCAATGTACCCTAGATGGCAGCAGAGAGAAATGGAATAATCTAACTCTTCTGCCACCTATAGGTGGGC